GCAGCACTACCAACAATAGCCAAAGTATGGAAAGAGCCCGAATGTCCGTAGATGCATGGAATGGAAAAAGAAGAGATGGCACATATATATACAGTGGAACATTACGCGGCGATCGAAAGGAAAGACAGGGTGCCATTCGCAACTATGTGGCTAGAAGTAGAGGGTATTCTCCTCAGCGAAATTAGTCAGAGAAACACAACTAGCATATGAATTCACTCATATGAAGGCTCTAAGGTGCAAAACAGATGAGCTTCAGGGAAGGGAAGGAAAAATAATATAAAAAGAGGGAGGGGTACAAAACCAAGCAGGGAGGGGGCCAACGGATATCTGAAGAACAGGGAAAGGCGTGCTTGTGCCCTGGCCTCGCTCGCCCCCTCCCCCGCCCACTCTCTGGGGGCTTCTCCCTGGGGAGTGGTCCTGAGAGTGGCCGGCGCCAGGCTGGCCCCGTGGAGCCACGGCCTGGAAGCGAGGCCAAGCCAACAGAGGTGTGAGAGCATTGGGAAAGGGTGTGGGCATGGGTGTGGCAGGGGTAAGGATGCTGCGTGTAAGGGGGTGGGGCCGTGGGATGGTGCCATGGAGTGAGGAGGCCAGGCAGAGGCTGAAGGAAGCGGTGGGCGGGGCTGGAGGGCACCAGGTTGGGGGAGGGCCATGCCTTGAGGGCAGTGGACAGAGGCCCCAGGAGCAGCCTCCCGGAGAAGATAGGAAAGGCCAAATGAAAAGCGCACACGACGCCCAACACAGGCCAATGTTCCAGGAGGGAAACCGTCCAGGGTGCCGACGGCACTGCCGACGCAGGCCCTCCACCTCGGCCAGTGGGGCCGCTAGCTTTTGCACTGCTGTGGGAGAAAGGTGCTCGCTTGCATGACACTCAGGAATGCCCCGCCGAGTGGGTTGCACCTTGTCCCGTGGGTCTGGCCCTTCAGGATCCCAAAGACATCTCCCTGACACAGTGTCCGTGGCTGAGGCCAGCCAGGCCAGGCCAGGAGAAACGGTGGCAGTCACACCAACATCCCCCAATGGGAGCAAAAGCTAAACAGAACGTCCGAGTTGATGGGCAAGAACAAAGAGCCCCAAACGGGGGGCGTCGGCCACGGGGAGCCCCCTGCGTCAACACAGGGACGTGTCAGGAACAGCGACTTGGGTCACGAGACCAAGTGCCAAGGCAGCTAGTTCCCGGGGGACACGGGACATAGGATCCCATTCCTCCGAAGGTCCCAGCGAGCGCAGTCACCGCCCTAGAGGCAGAAAGGGGGACGGGGAGGGCAGGGCAGGGTGTGGAGTGAAGGGACACCGCAAATAGGTCATGGACACACCGCTCCCGTTGGGAAAGGGAGAAGCTTGGACACGGAGGACGCCGAAGGGGCCCCCAACCACAGGAACGTACGTGAGGCCAGGGGCCCCGCAAGCTTCCCTGGAGGCCCACGAGAAACACCAGTTTACGAATGCAACAGGCATGCACACGCGAGTCTCTTTGTCCAAGGGTGAAGATGTGTTCTGAGACGTCTATCTCCACATGCATGCATACCAGTTACAACGGCAAGCAATCGCTAAACCTCCGGGATTCGTTCCTAGTGTGGAGACGTGAGGAGCACCAAGGTGATGGGCTGCATGGGATTAAAGTGCCCGAGAGGTCACGTGACCTTGGGCGGGTCTAAGAGTCCGGGAAGGAAGGAAGTGTCCCTCCCTGACCGTCCCTCGGGCACGCCGGACGCTGAGTCTCCTCCACGGCAGTCCGCCTGCCACCCGCCGCTCTGGACGTCTCCTGACACACAGCAGGAGCACATTGGCATTTCAGGTGCGTTGGGACGATCTGGGGCTCCCACGAGCTGGCGCAGAAGTGGGACAGGGAGGAAATGGAGGTGGTGATGCGCCTCGACTCACCAGGTGAAGGACGCTTTAGTGTTGAAGACTATTGTGAGAACAGAGACTGAGGAAAGGCGTGGCTCTCGGTGTTCCTGAGCACGTGAGGTTCTGCTTCCAAAGGAACCGAACCCCAGAGTCTGACTGGTGTGAGGGCGTGGGGGAGCAGTGACAGCATCCTGCTCCATGTCGCCGTGGGGCCTCAGAGCCTAAGGAATTTTCTTGTTCACCCGAATTTCACGGCAAATGCTCATTTGCCACGGCTGACACGTGAGATCAGCGTGGGGCCCCGTAAAGGCCACGTGAAAAAAAAGGGTTCGGGCCCTGCGTGGGGAAGCTTCCAGTCGAGTCGAGCAGAAACGAAACGTTTTCCTTGACTTTGTCTTTGAGGGCGGTTTCTCCGGGGGTCACGTAGGAGAGGTACATTCTGGAGAGGCAAGCATCCTTCTCTTTGCACATGCAACCCTGGGTGCCACAGGGAGTATCGCCGTAGCGTGGATTGCGGTGTCCATGGGGGTCGGGACTTTGTGTGTGGTTTTCCTTCCGGAGGGCGCTGGGAGAGACTTCCCGAAAGTCTCTCCGGCGAGTCATGCAAGACCACCTCCACGGCCTTGCCTGAGGGTGCCGTCCTGCGGGTGGGTCCACGGGAGAGCGCGTAGAACATGCAGGAGGGAGAGGTCCCACCTCCCAGGTGAGGACGGTGTTTGACCTGGTGGGCATGACGCCCCCTCATGCCCGCTGGGGGAGGAAGGTTCCTGAAGGAGTCGTTGTGTCTGTGGGAATGACTCTCCTTTCCCACTGACTCAGGAAGTCCAGAAACCCATCTTCGAGCAAGGCTGACTTGACCCTTCAAGGAGAGGGGGCAGATGGCGGGTGGTCACACCCAGCACGCACCTTCCAGACCCTTGAAAGCCCCAAACGGGAAGAGGCAACGGAGAGCACCCATGGCGCCCAGGGTTCCCAGGCTAGAGGACGAGGATCCTCGGGTAAGTGGAGCCCTGGAGGCGTGGTGAACCAGTGGGCGGGTTGGAGGGGCTGGGTCGGGTGGGGGTGGGGGAGCCATGCCTCTGAAGCCGGGGATCGCACATGACGAGGGAATGAAGACTCTGTGTCCGGAAGTCGGTCGTCCTTTCCTGGCCCACGGTGGCCTGCCTTGGCATCTCAGCGGCCTGCCCAATGGGATAAGCTCCCTCGGCCGTAGGGTCACGTCCAGCCTGGTGTCTGTCCCCATCGTGGCGTGGGGCTCACCCTACGCGGCCTGAGACCTGCACTCCCAACTCCCGGTCCGTCCCTCACAGAGGCTTGGGTAGAATCCTAGGAACTTCCATCTCCTGGCACCGCCCGAGCCGTCCACGATGTGCCCTGGCCCACCCACACCAGTCCTCTGCTCCCCCAGTGCGTCCTTGTCATGTCCTTTGCAGTTGGACTGTGATTGGTGCTGATTCACTGAGCCCCTCCTCCTTGGTCCGCAGCTCAAGTGTAAGGACTGCGGAGCCTTTGGGCACAACGCATCCAGCACCAGGTGCCCCATGAAGCGCTGGGACGGGTGCCTGGCCCCCCAGGCCTTTGTCCCCAGGAAGCCGAAGGAGAATGTGGAACCACGCCAGCAGCAGGACCGGCACAAGCCCGGGCCCTTCGACCAGGCTGCGAGGGACATGGAAGAGGGACAAAGGTGAGGATGCGGCCGGCTCCGGCCTGCCCGTGGCCTGGCAGCTCAGGTCGCTGTGTCTCCGTACCCGGACACTGGGTGCTGTGTCGTCCTCAGACACGCGCAGGGGTGGGGGAGGCAGAGAAAGGAGCTCCCCGCCCCCCAGGGGACCTCACGAGCCTACTGAGCTGCTCTGGGGGAGTCCCTGAGGCTGTGTGTCCTGCGGTAGGGAGACAGGGGGAGGCGGCAGATGACGGGCAGTGGCGCACACGGCTCTCAACGCAAGGACGTCTTGGGCCAACCTGGACGGCTCGCTGGAGTGGGAGCCAGGAGGGCAGATGAAGAAAGGAGATCTTGCCCAAGCCCCATCGCTCGCTCCCCAGGTGAAGACACGAAATGCCACTCCTTCACCTTCCCGTTCTTGGTCGCCCAGGCGAGAAGCCCAGCAGAGGAAGGCGCTGCTGCAGAGGTTCCCCAGGATAGGCCCTGGAAGGCAGCAGCGAGCCTGGAGGGACTCCACAGAATCCTGTGACTATGTGAGGGTGAGTGTTCCCCCGTCCCTGCTCTCGTTCTCTCCTGGGGACGGGGATGTGACGGGCTTCCCGGCCCTCCTGGCTGAGGAAGGGGGTCCGCCCCGATTCTCAACATTGGGATTTCCGTGCGGGTCCTTTCCAGCCACGTTTGCTGGCTGTCCATGATCCGGCAGGATTCCTTGCATGTGTGCTAACCGGGTGCCGGGTGGGCGTGCCAACGTAATTTGGGGACGCTGTGCCCACACCTAGGCCTCTTGGGAGGCACAGACACATACACCCGCCCCATTGGCCATCCAGACTCAGTAGCGCCCCCACCCCCCCGCGAACCTCCACCTGCAGGACGCCTGTCCTTTCCCTAGAAGCCTGAATGGACGTGCTTGTCCACTTTGGGAGGCAGGCACGATGCACAACCTTTCTGGTCCGTCGCTCCCGTGGAATCAAAGCATCAAGGGGCTACTGCCCAGTGCTTCTTCCCGATCGACGCTGAGCTGGAGGCCCTTGTCCTCTGTCAGTACAATCCTTTCCCGTCTCTCCCGGTTGTTTGCGTTTCTGTCTGTTTCTTTGCTGTGCTTGTCGTGCGTGCGTCCTTGGTGGGGAGGAAGGACTGATGGCCGTTGTCTGTGTGTTGTGTGTTCCCACAGCATCCGCACAGGCCGATGCCCGTGTACACCGCCAAGAGGGTGTCCGTGCTGGCGCCGCACGTCCCGGCTGAGCCTCCCAGCGGGACGCCTGACACGACACAGCTGTCCCCGTCGGCTGCTCCTCTCGGGAGACCTGCGGCGAGCACCTTCCCGCCTGCTGGCCGACAGGATGCCCAGCAAGCGGGGACCCCAGCCCCGCCTGCCCCGCCTGCCCCGGCACACCAACGCTCCGCCCGGGATCCGGGCCTCGGCGTCCAGCTGAGACAACACCGGCCCCGATGTGCCTCCCTGGAAGCTTCCAGGGCTGTCTCCAAGGCGCGTGGCATTGGCCACGCCCAGGCACCAGCCAAGCGTCCTGAGGTGAGCCCTGATCCTCCTCCAAGCCGTTGGGCTCCGAGTCCCCAGCCCCACATCCAGACACCAGGCAAGAGATGGGCCCCGCTCCCCGACGACACGTGCCAGAACCCTCGAAAGAAACCACGATGGACCCCCTTTCATCAACCCCACAAGAGCACAGGGAGCACCCACGTGGGGCTGCGCCAGAGTCTGTGTCGTCCAGCAAGGAGAAGTGTGTGTGGTCCCACGGGGGCAGCCCAGCTGACCAGGAAGACACCTGCCTCGGTGCAAAGCAGGGGCCTCCAGCCTCCACGCCCCCAACCTCACCTGGACACTCTCCAGGCGTGCACCTTGCCCCCGTGTCCGCCCTGTCCGCAGGCACCCGGCCAGCCCCTGCGGATGGTCTTCAGCCGCCTGGACAAAGGCGGCTGGAGCTCCAGGTTCATAGCAGCTCCCTGTCTGCCACCTCCCGAGAGGCCAGTCCCCCCTGGCCAGGGCCCGCCCGTCACACACCGGTCTGAGGGAGGCTGTGTGCCTGTCTCCCGGAGCATCCTCCACGATGACCTGCAGCTTTCCTCGTCCTCGGAGGAGAGCGACCGCGAGTGAGACACCTCATGTCCTCGGACACCCGTCCTCTGGCTCTCGTGACCCCGAGCAGGTGACTGCGGAGCGGCGGGCAAGGCAGGGCCGTGACCTATTTTTGCTAAAGCAGCAATTCCCCCAAAGACCTGCAAGGACAAAAACTTGCGTCCACACCGTGTTTGGTGTCCTGCTTGGGGCGGGGAGTGGGTTGAGCGCCCACGTGCAGACGCTCACGGCGCACTTTTCCTTTATGCATCTACACCTTCTGGTTCACCTGCTCCGTCTCAATCAACAAGGTCTCGTTTCTTTCGTTTCAATAGATTCTATGAGAAATCCAGCGCCAGGAGGGCAAGACGTCGTCCACTCGAATGTAAAGTTAAGGATCTGTGAAATGAATGTGTAGCGGGTTTGCGAATGTCTCAATTTGGGGACACCGGAGGAATGATTCCAGTCTGGGCTGGGCAAGTGGAGGCAATCTTTTGTTTTAGAACAGTTCACTGATATCGCTTTTCTGCAGATCATATCGGGGAATATTCTACATGCTGTCTGCATTTTTGTTTTTCCCTGATAGTGCAACGTTGCGTGTAGTGTTACCACAGCTAATAAAATTTGCTCAGACACGACCGAATGTGCATGGTTTTCTTTTTTGTGTGTACACCGTAGTTTCCCGTCACTTAGAGTAGAATCCTGCATTGGTTCCCAAGTGCACTTGGGACTTGGATCCTCACCTAGTGGAGAACAACTAAGTATTCAGAAGCAGCAAAGAAACACGGGTTAACCTCTCTTCCCCTTTCAAGATAAAGTCTCTCCAAGTGTCCTGGGAACAAGACAATGCTAGAGGTGAATTCGAAACCGATGAGGCTCGGTCGGGATGCCTGGGCGGCTCAGTCAGAGAAGTGTCTGACCTGGAGGCGGCGGCTCACGTCATGATCACAGGGTTGGGGAGATTGAACTTTGAGTTTCCCTCCCTCCTCGGGATTGCCACTCTCCTTTTCTCTCTAACCCTCCCCCACATTCTCTCTCCCTCCCTCCCTCCCTCTCTCTCTCTCTCTGTCTGTCTCTCTCTGTCTGTCAACATAAAAACCCATGAACTGAAAGAACATGCGCATGGGAAATCAATCAGCATTAGGGGCTGCTGTCCACATGTCTCTCAAAGGCATTTTCATTCACAAGTCACGTCAAGGAGGGTGGCATAGAAGAGATACAAAGGAAAGGATGAGAAAGACATTCCGCAGATAGATACTAGAGAGGGGAAGGAGACACGAGAGTTAGGAGATAGACACATAGAGTGATGAGCGATTGATGAGAGAGGACAGAGAATTAGGGGGTCAAAGGGTTCTTTGGGAGCAATTCTGCAGGCCTCTTTGCCCACGTGGCAGGTGGCCGGGGCTGAGGCTCCAGAAGCAAGGGGGTGTTCGTGGAGTCTGAAGACGGGCAGGCTCCAGACCCGGGGAGAATGGACTTGTCGGGGCCAGGCACTCAGACAGGAGCAGGTGTCTCGTCTTGGGACAGGGGTCAGCTTTATGCTCCAGGAAGGTCTGGAATGGACTGGCTCAAGTCACTACGTTAAATAGGGCAACTTGCTCTGCTCAGACCAGTCACGTGAGAGTTCCTACCATCTAACACCGTCCAGTGAAAACACAACCGGTTTTCTAGGAGGACATGACAACCAAAGGGAGAGATGATTCCTTGCAGAAACAGGTCCAAACTTGGCGCCTGCCAACGGATATTTGAAGAACAGGGAAAGGTGTGCTTGTGCCCTGGCCTCGCTCGCCCCCCTCCTCTACCCACTCTCTGGTAGATTCTCCTTGGGGTGTGGCCCTGAGAGTGGCAGGCGCCAGGCTGGCCCGGGGGAGCGACGGCCTGGACGTGAGGCCGGGCCAACTGAGGGCGGAGAGCATTGGGATGAGGTGTGGGCATGGGTGTGGCAGGGGTAAGGATGCTGCGGGTAAGGGTGGGGCCGTGGTCCGGTCCCATGCAGTGAGGCCAGGCGGAGGCTGACGGAAGCCGTGGGTGGGGCTGGAGGGCACCAGGCAGGGAGAGGGCCGTGTCTTGAGGCTGTGGTCACAAGAGTCTGAAGACGCCTTTTGTGCATCCCATTGGGTGTCCTCCTTGACCCCTTGCCCCTTTCCTTCCCCTCACATGAGTGTGTTTGGCAGTGAGACACCTCACGTGCTCGCAGCCTTTTCCTCCTAGTTGGCGACCCCGAGGAGGTGACTGTTTCATTGAGGATCCTCTCTCCCTCTCTCTCTGTCTCTCCCTGGCTTGTCCACATGAGCGCTCTCTCTCGCTCTCTGTCTCTCTCTGTCCCTCTCTCTCTCTCAAAATAAATCAATTAAAATGTTAAAAGTGAAAAACAAACAAACATTAGAGAAGAAAGCACAATGTCAGTAGACCTGGTCAGTTCTGAAATCTGGTCTAGAGATACTGACACATTAAAGCCACAGTTTCCAGGAGGGGACATCTGTCCATGCATGTCTAAATTCCAATGTCAAACCGACTCTAAATGTCACAAATCCACAACAAACATGTCCTGAACCACGGGAACCTATGCCTACCTTGCTATGTGATTTGCTAGTAATACCAGTGACAATTTGGCAAATGATGGGTTTAGGTTTTGTTCTCCTATTGGGAAGGGAGCTACAAAATGAAGAAAGCATTCACAAAGCCCGAAACCAGGCAAAGGATATTTCTTGGGACAATTTCTCGGCCACCCCTTGGTAGACAGACATGTTGCAAAGGACCTTCATGATAGTTCTTATACACAGATCCCATGGAGACAGTTCGGGAGTTTTAGACTCAAATCCATGGACAGTAATCATTCCAGAATAATTGGCTGGTGTCACATACATTCTGGCTGACGGAGAGGAGGTGCTCCTCCATGGTACCAGAGCTCAATTGGTAAAATGATTTCCATGGCCTAAAAAATTCATGGCCGTCATTCCTCGACACTTTGTGTTATCTAAGAGCAAAGTGGATACTCAAAAAAGGATTTCCTCTAGGTTGGAAATGCTCAAGTCCGTCTGTCCAGAGAGGGAGCAATGGAAATGAGGGAGGTGGAGAAAGTGGTGAAACGTGTGTGTGCCTCTTGAGGGGGGAGGGGCAGGAGGAAGGCTGGGCTGAGTCGTCTGTCTGCAGAAGAGTGACCACACCCTAAGACCCTTCATCCCACTCCAGCTGGTAGCTGATGGGATGACGTGGTCCTAGTCAGGTGGGTGGGGCGAGCTTTACGAGGGCTGAGGAGGGGGCCCCAGCCATCATTCTGAGACTGGCCTCCTGAGAGAAGCATCGCTCTGCAACGTGAGGCTCCACGTTTCAGGAGACATGGAGACTCCCTCTTCCCACTGCCGAGAGGAGACTCAGCTCCATGTCTTTCCAAACCTCAAATCTTGCGGGTCAAATACGGGTGGTGCCGAAGGCCACGGAGGACCCACTCTGCCTGACAAGCCGTCACCGTCATCGCACACACCCTGCGACCTGCCTAACGGTTGGGCTCCCACGTCGACGGGTCTGCCCCCCGCAAAGAAACCTGTGAGTTGGAGGAGACCTTCTGTGGTTGGGGCTGGCCTGCAGAACCTGGGGAACACGTGCTATGCCAATGCGGCCCTGCAGTGTCTGACGTACACACCACCCCTCGCCAGCTACATGCTGTCCCAGGAGCACTCCCGAAGCTGTGGGAGGCAGCCATTCTGCGTGCTGTGTGCTCTGCAGGCTCACGTGACCCGGGCCCTCTGCCGTCCGGGAGACGTGATCCGGCCTCCGCCAAAACTGCTCGCTGCCTTCCACACACACAGGCAGGAGGATGCCCATGAGTTTCTGATGTTCACTCTGGATGCTATGCAGCAAGCGTGTTTGCGTGAGGACAAGCCTTCAGAGCCTCAGGCTCAGGACGCCACCCTCATCCGGCAAATCTTTGGGGGGTACTGGAGGTCTCAAATCCAGTGTCTCCACTGCCAGGGTGTCTCCAGCACTTTGGACCCTTACCTGGACATTAGTCTGGATATCAGGGCAGCTCAGAGTGTGAGCCAAGCTTTGCAACACTTGGTGAAGCCCGAACAGTTGGATGGTGAAAATGCCTATCGTTGTAGTACTTGTCTCGACAAGGTACCTGCTTCCAAGACGTTGACTTTGCACACTTGCTCCAAGGTCCTGATGCTGGTGTTGAAACGATTCTGCCATTTCACGGGCAGCAAACTGGCTAAGGAAGTGCAATATCCTGAGCGCCTTGACATGCGACGCTACGTGTCTGGGCAGAACGGGGGGTCGCTGACTTATGTGCTCTATGCCGTGCTGGTGCACGCGGGCTGGAATTGTCACAGCGGACATTACTTCTGTTACATCAAAGCTGGGAGCAGCCAGTGGTACAAAATGGATGACGCGAAGGTGACCGCCAGTGATGCGACGTCTGCCCTGAGCCAACACGCCTATGTCCTCTTTTACATCCAGAAGAGTGAATTGGAAAGAGACCGTGCGAGTGAGCCAGGTGCTGGGGAATCCACATCCCTCCAGGCTGACCACGCAGGCACGGCTGCGGCCCAACGGGGGCCTGAATCCGACCCCAACATCGAGGTGCCACAATTGGAGGATCACGTGGAAGAGACACCACTGCCAGCAATCACGTTAGACCAGTGGAGATTCCTCCAAGAAAGCCACCGTCCCAAGTCTGAATTCAACCTCAGGAAACTAGAATTTGCTCTTCCCCCCGACACAGTCCTAATTCACCAGTCCAAATACAGAGATGAGATGGGAAAGGATCACCGTGAACCAAACATCTACCGGCTCAACAGTTCAGCCAGGGACATCCCACCTCAGAGGGCAACGGCCATTCACCAAGTCCCTTGTCTCACCGGCAGAGCCAGAGCTACCAAGAGGAAGAACAAGAAGGGACAGAGGTCTCAGGAAGCAGTGCAGGGATCCCACTA